GACGAAGTTCCCAGAGATGTTTTGGAGGCGTCGTCTTGGGCAGGGGTCGCAGCCGTGCAGATCTCGGAGGACATGAACATACTGGGCTTGGAGAGGGAGGCGTTGGTTCTAGCTGCCCGGCATCTTCTTCGGAGTTCAGAGGCTTTCGGGAAACTCTTGGTGACCCCGGTGGACAACTTACCCTTAGCCTTAGCGGCCACGAAAGGACGGGCTCGGTCACTTCATCTCAGAGGGCCTCTTCGGAAGTTGGCGGCCCTCAGCCTGGCCTCGCACCCGCTGGATCGCCTCAGAGCTCAACCCGCCCGATCTGTACTCACGCGGGCTCCGAGGATGGTTCTCCGGCGGCCGTTTGCCGCGGGCCCAGGCCTCCCCCAGCGCAGCAGCCGCGCCCGGGCTCGGGGGGCCTCGCGCTCCGCCCGATGCCGCGCCGCGCGCCCCGGGCGCCGGGGGGCAGCCGGCAGGCGGGCGCGCGGGCCAGCCTGGCGCGCAGGTTGCTGGTCGGCCGGCAGCCGATCGCGGGGCTCACTCCGCTGGAGCAGCTGGCAATCAAGGAGACAACCGAGGCCCTGTACCGCTCGGCGTGCCAGAAGTTTACGGACCACTGCGCCCGCCGCCGGGCCTCGTGGAGCACGATCCGGGAGCTAGACCTCGCGGTGGTGGACTTCTTGAGAACAGCCAGTTCCTGGCAGGGGCGGCGGCGGCCGAGGGGGGCCAGCTGCTGGCCGCGCTGGCCCACTTCCTGCCGGAGGTGCGCTGGGCAGGCAAGGCTGGCCCGGCGCAGAGCTGGCGCGCGGCCATTGCCTGGAAGCGGAGGGTGCCCAGCTTCACGCGGTGCCCGCTGCCGCGGTCGGCAGCTTTCGCGATAGCGGGGGTCGCCCTGGCCCTGGGGCGGACGCGGATGGCGCTGTGGATTGTGATATCGTTCGTGTGCTACCTCAGGCCGTGCGAGTGCTTCAAGCTCAGAGCTCGGCACCTGGTGGGCCCCACGGCCACGGCCGGGCCTGCCTATCAGGCGCGGGGGCTCCTCCTCCACGACGCGGCGGAGGCCCAGCCGGGCAAGACGGGCCTTTTCGAGGAGTCCGTGCTGGTGGACTTGGACACGTGGCTCAACCCCCTGCTGCAGGCGCTCCAGCTGGCTTCGAAGCCGGACGAGCCCCTGTGGCCGTTCAGCCCTGCGGAGCTCCGCGCCGTCTTTGCCCAGGCTGTGACGCTGCTGGGCCTGGAGAGCTCGAGGCCGCACCTGTACTCCCTCAGGCACGGCGGCGCCTCCGACGATCTGCTGACCAGCCGCCAGACAGTCGAGCAGGTCAGGCGCCGCGGGCGCTGGAAGGCAGCCTCGCCCATGGCCAGGTACGCCAAGGAGTCGAAGCTGCTGCGCGAGATCGGCCTCGTTCCAGTCGCGAGCTTCGCCTTCGGGGAGCTCGTGGAGCAGCGCTTCCAGCAGCTCGTGGAGCAGGGCTTCCTGCAGTCGGGGCTCATCAACAGGGTGCCGGACCCCCTGAAGCTGCAGGTCAGGCGCCTCGCGGAGGCGGCGACCGCTGGGCCGCCGAGTTCCGGCTTCCGGAGCTCTCGCCGGGCGGCCCGCAAGCGGCCCGCGGCCGCCGAGGCAGGCGCGGGCCGAGTGCTCCGCCGCCGCTGAGCCGCTCGGCCACTGGCGTGGCTCGCCGGCTGCGGCGAGAGTTCCAGGCCGCCCTGCGAGGGGTGACTCGGCGGCGCCGCTGCGTCTTCCTGGAGCTCTTCGCCGGATCAGCAGGCGTGGGCCGACAGCTGCGGCAGGCCGGGTACGCCGTCGTGTCTTTGGACATCCAGATGGGCGTGCACGGGAACGTGTTGCTGAGAGTGGTTGAGAAGCTCCTGAAGGGGTGGATATCCTCCGGCGCGGTGCTGGGGGTCTGGCTCGGAACGCCGTGCACGTGCACCACGTGGTCGCAGGCGTTGAGGCAGCCGCTTCGTTCTGTGTCCTGCCCCGCGGGTCTCGCCTCTCTCACGGACGCTCAACAAGCACGATTGAACGTTGGGAACGCAACCGTCCATGTGTCTTGTCGGTTGATTGACTGTTGTCGAAAAGCAGGGGTACCAGTGTATCTTGAGAACCCTGACGGGTCGTTGATGTGGCAGGCTCCCCGTTTGCAGCTACTGAGACGCGCCGTCGATTGTTCTGAGGCTCGCCTGCATCAGTGCCAATTCGGAACCCCTTGGAAGAAATGCACTCGTATAGTTGCTTGGCGAGGTGGCAGCCTCTTTCGTTTGCGAAGATGGTGCCATGCTGACGGTAAGCGGTGCTCTCGAACCGGCCTGCCGCACCAGGAGCTTTCAGGACACGCTCCTGGAGGTAAGCATAGGACTGCCATCGCCGCCGCCTATCCTCGCCAACTGTGCCGTGCCATCGCCTCGACCATGATCGATGCCGCTGAATCGCTGCGGGTATCTGTGTTGTGGAATAGATTTGAACCGTGAAATTTGCGAGGCTGATCGGGTAGAAAATGCCTCCCATCTTACCCTATCGCTTTCGGGAGGTTGCGTTTTTTTTCGGCCCAGGGCCATTTCTTTTCCATTCGGGTCTGGGAGTCTCCGAGTTGCGCCTGGGCGCCTAATCTTTCAACAGCCTGTGGAAGAAGTGCCTTGCTCCAGACACGATAAAAACATGTGCTGGTGATCCCCGGGGGGGCAGGGCCAAGTCTCTGACCGCTTTTAACAAGCTGAAGTGACGTGCCAGGCCTTCGAGGGCTCGCCGTATCGACGTCATCCGTCGACGTGTATGCTCAAGTCTCCCCCCCTCCCGTTCCCTTTTCCTTTGCCTCCCCCTCGCTTCCGCTCGCTCTCATTCCTCGACAGGTAGTGCTCTCAGAATGGTCTATTCACTTGCAGTTGCTTCAGGGAGTCTCCGAGTTGCGCCTGGGCGCCTAATCTTTCAACAGCCTGTGGAAGATGTGCCTTGCTCCAGTAACGATAAAAACATGTGCTGGCGATCCCCGGGGGGGCAGGGCCAAGTCTCTCTCTCTCTCTCTCTCTCTCTCTCTCTCTTATATATTTATCTCTCTCTATATAATAATATATATATATATATATAATATATATATAATATATATATATATATATATATATGCGATGTGTGGGGGAAGACGAGAGCACAGCAAATATGGCAACGTAGGGACGATCCTGGGATCTGTGTCCATTTTTCGTGTGTCCCTGGTCTCCTTCAAATCAGGTTCAGGTCGGCATGTTCCCCTATAGGCGGAGTTGGGGCGGAATAGTGCAACTAGTCAAACAATGCACAAAATTAGTCAAAAAGGGTCAAATTAGACAAACAATGTCAAACATTGTCAAGTTTACCCTGGCGATGCACCAAACCCATGCGCAATGCGGGGCAATAGTAGCCTGGGGCACGTTATGCAGAGGTGATGACGTGACATGGGCGCATATAATTCTGCGAACGGCATTCGCGAGGCTCGCAGCCCCTCAGGGATGGCGAGGTCTGGCTCAGATCTGCGTGGCGCCTCACTCCGCTGGGCATGCTTGCGGCCCTCGAAAGTGGCGACAGTTTCGCAGATCGCAGCCCCCCAGGGACGGCGAGGTCTCGCTCAGATCCCCGCGGTGCCTCAGTCCGCAGGACCCACCAGCAGCCCTCGAAGGTGGCGACAGTTTCGCAGATCGCAGCCCCCATCGTCGGCGAAGAGAGGGCAGGAGGAGACGGGAGGCGGGAGGAGGAGCAGGAGGAACGCGACCACAGTGCTCTATTCAAAGCGAATGCCCAACCAAGCAGGGCTGGGAATTAGCCAAAATGGTCAAACAATTGCTAAACGTTGTGGATTTTTTTTTTTTTTTTTTTTTTTTCAAAAAGGGGAATTAGCCCAAAATGGTTAAACGTTGGGAATTCGCCAAAAGTGGTCAAACAGACCCCCTGCAGAGGGACAGGCCCGACGTCAAGCCAGGCCCCCGCGCCGCCCGCCCGAGGCCTGCCTGCGTCGCCTCCGCCCGGGACCCGCGGGCCCCCGCCCTCGCCTTCGCCCTCCCCCTCTCGGGGCGCCTCGAGTGGGGGGTGGCGCGGCCTCTTTGGGACGCCCTCCCGGGTGGGGTCGGGGCAGGAGGAGGAAGGGGAGGGGGAGGAGGAGGAGGAGGAGGAGGGAGGAGGAGGAGAAGGAGGAGGGAGGAGGAGGAGGAGGAGGAGGAGGAGGAGGAGGAGGAGGAGGAGGAGGGGGAGGAGGGAGGAGGAGGAGGAGGAGGGAGGAGGAGGAGGAGAGGAGGAGGAGGAGGAGGAGGAGGAGGAGGAGGAGGAGGAGGAGGAGGAGGAGGGGGAGGAGGGGAGGGGAGAGGAGGAGGAGGAGGAGGAGGAGGAGGAGGAGCAGGAGGAGGATGAGGAGGAGGAGGTCAGTCGGGCCTGTCCCTCGACAGGAGGAATACTCAAAACTGGTCACAATTAGTCAGGTGACGATCTTTCTAGCATGTTTTGGCTGTGTTGGGTTCTTTTCGGGGTATGTTTAATTTTCGCCCAAAATCGCTTTGTAGCGGGACACGCCCGACGTTGAGGTTTCCCAGGTGGGGTCGGAGTAGAGGGGGTCGAAGTCAGCGACGTGCAGAGGGGGGTGGGGGGAATCGGGGGGCTTCGTAGAAGCACCCATGCTTCTTAGAGGGCGTGGGCCTTGTCTACAGATGTAAGGTCGGCGCCTTCTGAGCAGCAGCCTCCTTCTGAGAAACCCTCCCCCCTCCCTCCACCCCGTTGTGCGCACCGCCAGGTAAAGTGTGTCGAAGGATTCCGACGCATCGCCGATGCATCGGCGATGCCGCTCGATGCGGAACCCGATGCTCTTCACGCGGATGTCGCCGATGCATCGCCGATGCATCCGATGCATCGCCGACGTCGCTGGTGCATCGCCGATGCATCGCCGATGCATCGGCGATGCATCGCCGATGCATCGCTGATGCGACGCGATCCTCCGACCCCATCTACTCCGACCCCATCTGGGAAGCCTCTATGATGTTCTTGCGCCCTGCGCCCGCAGGCGTGTCTGTCAAGAGCCAGCCGGAGCCCGAGCCGCCGTTCACGGCCCTCGTGGGCGCGGGCGCGGCGCAGGAGAGCCACGCCCCAGGACGGACCCGCCCCCGCCGGGACGGGGCTGTGGGGGCCTCAGGACGGTTTTTCGAGGGCCGCCTCCTCCTCCTCCTCCTCCTCCTCCTCCTCCTCCTCCTCCTCTTCCTCCTCCTCCTCCTCCTCTTCCTCCTCCTCCTCCTCCTCCTCTCCGGCTGGCCTCCCAGGGCCCTCCCGCCCAGAGGGCCCCGGAGCGGCCCCGAGCTGGCCCCGGGAGGCCCCGAGGGGGCCCCGAGAGACGGTGGGGCGCCCACGCAGTCGGAGGGCGGCCCGCAGGAGGCGCCTTCTCTCGCAGTCGCCTTCCCAGCGTCCCTCGCCGCTTCGCCGCCCACCGGCAGGTCGTCGTCGTCGTCGTCGTCGTCGTCCTCCCTCCTCTTCTTCTTCTTCTTCTTCTTCTTCTCCTCCTCCTCCTCCTCCTCCTCCTCCTCCTCCTCCTACTCCCTCCTCCCTGCTCCCTCCTCCCTCCTCCCTCCTCCCTCCTCCTCGCCCTCTGTCGTCCCTCCCCGAGCCCCCTCTCTCGAAGTACGAGAATCGCCATAAACATAAACTTTTGGCGCCCCGCGCGGATTCCTCGGATCTGCGCTGGGCCGCCCCCGGCGGCGCCTCCGGCGCCGCCCCCGGCGCGCTCCGCGCGCCGGGGAGAGGGGATCGGCGCAGATCCAAGAAATCCGCGTGGAGCGCCACAACTCTATGTTGGGAGCGTTTTTTTTTTTTTTTTTTTTTTTTTTTTTTTTTTTCCTGTTTTTGCTTTTGCCTCCCACTCTCCCGGCACCAGCCCGCGACGCGTCGGCGAGCACGGGGGACCCCCCTGCGAGGACTGGGCTGGGGCGAGGCCGCGCCCTCGGCGATGCAGTCCGCGGCGTGCACGCTCGCACCTGCCGCCGGTCGGCCCCGCCTCTGCAGGGGCGAGGCGCGCCCCCTGACAGCGGGCCCCGGAAGCGACAGGGCCGTTCTGTTGCGGGTTCCGTCATTTCGCCGTTCTCTTGCCGGCTCCGTCGCTTTGTGTTGCTCCCCGGTCCCGTCATTTTTTTTCGTTTTCTCCGGGGTGTGTTCCGCTTCCACAGTCATGTGAAGCCATGCGACAGCACGTCAGGCGCACCAGTTCCGTGGCGGGTTCAGGTCCGTGCGCTATACAAGGTCAGAGACGCGTGCGTTCCCCGTCTCGCTGCAGGCATCCTCGAAGAGTCGAACAGTTGAAGTTCCATCAAAGGGCCATATTTGGACGTCGAAGTTCAACATAATTGATCTCGCTTGAGACATCCTGAGACAATGGGCATAGCAAGTGGGCAATATTCTGGGATATGGATCCTTGGTAATTTTCCGATGCATGCCTTCGAAAAAGCTTTCTACTGGAGGGTGCCATATTTTCTCACCTCCTTTTACGTTCTGACGCCCACTCTCCTGCGAGCTCTTCATGCGCAGCGCGCCGGGTGTGATTGTCAGGAGGAGGCTGTCGGGCGAAGCCTTCTGAACAGCAAACATTACGCATTACGCCAGTAGGCCTGTCGATCGAGATGAGGGTGGAGGAGGACGACGAACAATGGGAGGAGGAGGAGAAGGAGGAGGAGGAGGAGGAAAGTTCCTCGGAGCTGAAAGCGCAACGCTTGCGGGCCCGTCCCTCCATATGCAAGCGAGGGCCGCAATTGCTGGCTTGTGGACGACGCTTCGGAAGTGTGGTGACGTGACCTCCACGTCAGTCTTTCATCGCATCTTCTCTTTTTCATCGTATTGTGCGAAGGGCTTCGCCCTCTGCCGTTGGCCCCCTTCCCCTCTGACAGCGTGCGTGGCCTCGTTGGCTGAGATGGTCTGTCGGCTGGCAGCTCGGCAGACTGTGCCGGGGGTGCGGCCTGTACATGCGCGCTGCCTGTGCAGAGTCGGTGCGTGCTCGCCTGAGCGAGCCGCGGGATCGCCACCCGGATCGCATCCGTAGTAGTAGAGACCCATGCCCCCCCAAACACCTTGCTTACCTCCAGGTGGCCCTGGGCATCTTGGCTCTCGATGGCTCTGCTGTGGCAAGCGTGGCGCTCCCGCACCACAAATAGGAGGTCCGCGAGGAGTTCTCGGGTCGGCGCAGGCGCCCCCTGGCGGCGCCTCCTGCTCCGCCCCTGGCGCGCGGAGCGCGCCAGAGGGGGGCGCCTGCGCCCATCCGAGAAATCCGCGCGGACCTCCGAGCTTTTGTGTTCATGCCACCCTTCGTTCCCCTAACCGACAACTTTAGGGACGCCCTGGGGTCTCAGAGCTACAGTCGGGGCGCTGAAGAAGGAACCCTTTTCGTTGGGGAGGGGCTCGATGCTCCTTAATTGTCCCACACCTTGCCTAAGGTCTCCCTTCAGTTTTCGATGGGAAGTCCAAGTTTAACTTACGAAAAAAGGAGCCTCGTTCCTTACCTAGGGTTCTTTAGGTCAACGCCCCGTGGAAGGCTCCTGGTGGTCGGGCCTGCACCGTGCTGGGCGCGACCCGCCGTCCTCCCACAGGGCCTCCGAGGGCCCCCGCCCCCCTCGGGGGGGCCTCTCTCGCTGCCTGGGGCCGCGCCGGCGGGCGCGCAGGACCAGGACCGCGCGGGCGCCGCCACTCCGCCCCCGTGCCGCGGGGCACGCAGACGCTGGTGTCCAGGCCTCGCCCCCGCCTCGCCCCCCCCGCGGCCCCGCCTCCGGGCCTCCCGCTCCCAGCCTTTTTTCCCCGGCAGTCCCGGGGGGGTCCCTTTCTTCCTCGCCTCCTCTCCTCCCCTCCCCTCCCCTCCCCTCTCCTCTCCTCCTTCCCCCTCTGCCGTCTTCCCCCCCCCCCTCTCTCCGCTTCTCCCGTGCTTGTCCCTACCCCCCCTTCCCCTCTTCCCCCCCTCTCCTCCTCTCCCCCTCTTCCTCTTTCGTCCATCTCTCCTCTCCCCCTCCTTCGTGTCCCTTGCCCCTTGCCGCCTCCCTCTTCCTCCACCTTTTCACCCTTCGCCTCTCGCCCGAGCTCTTCGACTCTCCCCATCGAGCCTCCCTCCTATGCCGATCCGTGACGCTCCTTTCGTCCCCAAGCTGTTCCTGCTCCTTTCTTGCTCGCCACCTTTGCTCGCCCCTTCTCTTCAGCCCTCTTCTCCCTTGCATCCCAATTCACCAGGTACCAGGGGGAGTGCATAATGATGATGGTGAAGATGGTGACGATGATGCTGATGACGATGATGATGCTGATGATGTTGATGATGATTGTGGCGCTTATGGTGATGGTGATGAGGTTATGAGATGATACTGCGGATTATTATGACGATGCTGCTGATGCTGCTGCTTAACCTCATGATGATGGTGGTGGTGGCGGTGGTGGTGATGGTGATGCTGATGATTAATGCTGCTGATGGTGATGGTGGTGGTGGTGGCGATGGCGATGTTGATGCTGATGCTGATGCTTATGATGATGATGATGATGATGATGGTGATGATGATGGTGGTGATGCTGATGTTGATGCGTATGACGATGATGCTGATGATGATGATGCTGACGATGCTTATGATGACGACGATGATGATGATGCTGACGATGATGCTGCTGATGATGATGACGATGATGCTGATGCTGTTGGTTATGATGATTATGCGTATGATGATGAATATGATGAGTATGCTGCTTATGCTGATGCTGATGCTGATGATGCTGATGATGATGGTGGTGGTGGTGATGATGATGATATGATGATGCTGATGATGATGATGATGATGATGATGATGATGATGATGATGATGATGATGATGAGGATGAGGATGAGGATGAGGATGAGGATGAGGATGAGGATGAGGATGAGGATGAGGATGAGGATGAGGATGATGATGGATGATGATGATGATGATGATGATGATGATGATGATGATGATGATGATGATGATGATGATGATGATGATGATGATGATGATGATGATGATGATGATGATGATGATGATGATGATGATGATGATGATGATGATGATGATGATGATGATGATGATGATGATGATGCTGATGGAAAGAGCGTGTTCTGCCGCTGCTGGCAGAACACTGGGGGGTCACTTGGGGTTTCAAACCCGTCCCCCCTCACCCCCCCTAGAAAACGGGGGGGGGTCACTAGGGGTCCCCCCCTCTGGTCCCTCATTCAAGTGGGCGGGGGTCACTACGGGTTCGAGCCCCCCCTCCCCCCTTATTCGCCGCCGGCAAACGACTCCCCCTCCTCCCCCACTGCCGATGGGAGACGGTGGTGGGGACAGTGGTGGGGACGGTGGTGGGGATGGTGGTGAGGACGGTGGGGACAATGGGACAGTGGTGTCAGTGGGGACAGTGGGACAGCGGGACAGTGGGTCAGTGGGGACTGCGACAGTGGGACCATGGGGCAGTGGTGCGGACAGTGTGGACAGTGGGCACAGTGGGGACAGTGGGACAGTGGGGACAGTGGGACAGTGGTGTTGGACAGCGGGGACCGTGGGACAGTGGTGGGGACAGTGGGCACAGTTGGGACAGTGCGACAGTGGGGACAGTGGGATAGTGGAACAATGGGACAGTGGTGGGGACAGTGGGACCGTGGTGTGGGACAGTGGGGATAGTGGGACAGTGGTGGGGACAGTAGGGGCAGTGTTACAGTGGGGACAGTGTGGACAGTGGGACACTGGGACCGTGGCACAGTTGGGACAGTGGTGTGGACAGTGGGGACAGTAGGACAGTGGTGTGGACAGTGGGGACAATGAGACAGTGGTGTGGACAGTGGGAACAGTGGGACAGTGGTGTGGGACAGTGGTGTGGGACAGTGGGAGCAGTGTGGACAGTGGTGTGGACAGTGGGGGCACTGGGACAGTAGAGACAGTGGGGCAGATGGGACAGTGGGATAGTGAGACATTTGGACAGCGGTACAGTGCGGACAGTGGTTGGTGGGACAGTGGTGGGTGGGGACAGTGCGGACAGTGGGACAGCGGTGGCGACAGTTGGACAGTGGTGGGGACGGTAGTGATGGTGATAGTGGTGAGGGCGGTGGTGGGGTCGGCGGTGGGGACCAGGGAGTCGTTTGCCGGCGGCGGGTATGGGGGGGGAGGGTAGGGGTTCGAACCGGTAGTGACCCCCCTTGTTTTTCTCGGAGGGGGGGAGGTTTGCCGGGGGGGAAGGGGGAGGGGGAGGGATTCGAAAAAGGAGGGGGGGATTTTCGCAGGGGGGATGGGACCCGGTTCCAGAGGGAGAGGGGGGGGAACTTTTCACAGCAAGGCGGCGGTGGATCTCGCGCTCTCTCTGATGATGTTGACGATACTGATGACTATGATCACGACAACGACGACTACCACGATGATGATAATGATGATGATGCCGACGACGACGATGACGATGATGATGATGATGATGATGATGATGATGATGATGATGATGATGATGATAATGCTGATGATGCTGATGATGCTGATGATGATGATCATGATTATGATGATGCTGTTGATGCCTTTTTGCGGATGATAATGAGGATGATGTTGATGATGTTGATCATGACACTGAGGATGCTGATGCTTATGATGATGGTGATGGTGATGATGATGCTGGTAATGCTGATGATGCTGATGATGATGGTGGTGGTGATGATGATGACGAACATGATGCTGATGCTGATGATGCTGGTAATGCTGATGATGCTGATGATGGCGATTGTGATGATGATGACGAACATGATGATGCTGATGACGATGATGATGCTGATCAGGATGATGAGGGTGACGCTGCTGATGATGTTGATGTTGGTGATGAAGATTGAGAAGCTGATGCTGATGATGATGATGATACTGATGATACTGAGTTTTCAGAATTTTTATGATGATGCTAGCGACCGTGATGATGTGGATACTGATGATGATGCTGATGCTGATGATGACGACGATGATGATGCTGCCGATGCTGTTTTTGATGATGATGGTGATGATACTGACGATGATGCTGATGACGTTGATGATGATGCTGATGGTTACGATGAGAGTGATGCTGATGATGCTGATTATGATGATTATACTGATGATGCTGATGATGATGCTGATACGGATGACGATGATGACGATGACGATGACGATGCGTGTGATGCTGCTGATGCTGATGCTGATGCTGGTGATGATGATGATGATGATGATGATGATGATGATGATGATGATGCCGACGATGATGCTGCTGTTGATGATGATCATGATGATGATGCTGATGATGATGCTGATGATGATTGTGATGATGATGATGATCATGGTGGTGATGATGCTGATGATGATAATTCTGCTGACGATGGTGATGCTGATGAACATGACGATGATGCTGATGCTGATGATGATGCTGCTGCTGATGATGACGCTGATGGTGGTGATGATGATGCTGATGATGATGAAGATGATGTTCATGATGATGATGATGATGATGATGATGATGATGCTGATGATGATGATGATGATGATGATGATGATGATGAGGTTGATGATGATGCTGCTACTGATGATGATGATGATGATGATTATGATGATGATGATGATAATGATGCTGATGATGCTGATGCTGCTGCTGATGATGACGCTGATGGTGGTTATGATGATGATGCTGAATATGATGATGATGATGCTGATGCTGATGATGACGACGATAACGCTGATTATGATCATGATGCAGATGCAGATGAAGATGCTGTTCATGATGATGCTGCTGCTGCTACTGATGATGATGATGATGATGATGATGATGATGATGATGATGATGATGATGATGATGATGATGATGATGATGATGATGATGAGTGTTCTGATTATTCTGATGAGGATGATGAGGTTGATGATGAGGAGGAGGAGGATCAGGAGGGGGAGGAGGAGGATGAGGAGTAGGAGGCTGGAGCAGGAGGCGGAGCAGGAGGAGGAAGAGGAGGAGGAGGAACGCGTCCATTACCTTTTGGTTCAAAGCCTGGTGAGGGGGAGGGGGCAGGAGGAGGGAGGACGGAGGAGGAGGGAGGACGGAGGAGGAGGACCTTCTCCCTGCTGATTCTGCGGCGTGCCCCCACCAGAGATGCCCGCCCCTGGCCCGGAAGGCTCGAGACCGAGGCGCGGCTGGGCCGCTGGCAGTGCCTCCCGGCGAGGACTCCGCGGCCAGACCGCCACCCAGGGGCAGTCGGCCCTCCTCCGCCCCCCACTGCAGCGCCCCCTCGAGGGCCGGAAGAACACACACACACAACTTCATACACACACAATTCCACACACACACACAGTCATAAACACAATCACACACACACACACACGTTCATACACAATCACACACAATCACACACAATCACACACAATCGCACACACACACACATGCATACAATCACACACAATCACACACATACATTCACACAATCACGCGCACACACACACACACACACACTGCATCAACGTGCGCTTTTCGAGGCCCTCGAGGATGGTCCGGATCTGCGCTGGGCCCCTCGGGAGACGCCTCCTTGCGCCGCTCCTGGCGTGCCCAGGGCGGTCGGCCCTTCTCCGCCCCCCACTGGAGCGCCCCCTCGAGGGGCCCCATCGGGCTCCTCTCAGAGGAGCAGAAGGTACCCATACCGGTACCCTTCGCCCGTTTTCTTCTTTTTGGGCCTCCTGGGCGGCCTTCGTCGCCACCGCTGGGTTCGCCTCGAAATCCAGGTCAGAAGGCACCCCAGGAGAGGTCCGGCGAGTAGCGGTATCGGTACCTTTTGGTTTCCTCATCCTCGGGCCTCTGCGCTGGAGGAACACACACTGCATCAACATACCCTAGGTCTCCCAGGTGGGGTCGGAGCAGATGGAGTCGGAGGATCGCACCGCATCGCCCACGTCGACGATGCATCGCCGGTGCATCGCCGATCCATCTCTGACGCATCGGCGATGCATCCGCGATGCGGCGTGATCCCCCGACCCCGACCCAATCCACTCCGACCACATCCAGGGGGCCTTTACACGCGCTCTCGGAGTTCCACGCGGATTGTCTGCATCTGCGCTGGACCCCTGGCGCGCCATGGAGGGGGTTCTGGCTCAGGTCCCACGAGTTCGTGCGCCCTTCTACACTTTAGATGTCGATGGGGTTTTCCTTCTTCTGGGAAAGGAATGCCCCGATTCAATCGGATCATTCCTTTTTCCTCCTATTCAGGAGCACTCCAATTCAAGCGGAAACGAGGGGGGCAGCGGTAATTTGCCCCTGCCCCCTTCGTTTCCGCTCGTTATGTGGCCTCCAACTCACCCACCCACCCAGTAGATAACATAACGCCCGCCGCCCCACCCACCCCCGTTGCAGCAGCGCGTGTTGTTTAGCGCACAGGTATGCTGTTCGTAGTGCGCGCGCAACGTGTTTGCAGCGTGCGCAGGCATTTGCTTGTGGTATGTAGAGGCACGTGGCGCGCGCAAGCTGATGTGGCACCCACGCAGGCGCGGCGGCACACCAAGCAGTGGAAACAACGAGCAGTTCGGCGTGCATAGCGCACACGCCGGCTGCGGCGGCAATTGTGGTGCACACAGGCGCGGTGGTGTCCAGCATTGTCGTGCGCAAAGATAATTACTGTTGTCCGCGCAGGCAACGGGGGTACGGGGCCGCGCCCTGGAGGTGTACACGGGCTTTGTGGTGTACGCAGGCACAGCGATGTACATGCTGGATGTGTATACAGGCACAGGGGTGCATTCGTACCGACGTTAGTAGCGGGGAGGGTCGTCCAGAAGAAAATATAAACCCAGCCAGACAGTCCACGGGCTTTCTAACACGGCATTGCCGTGCAGGCGCGGCGGCGGATTACATTCCAGCTGTCGCGCAGACTCGGCGGCGACCTCGGGGGGGGGGGGGAAGTTTGTCCGCCCGAGTAGTGTCGACTGGGGCCGTTCTGGCGCGAGCCGCCCGTCGGGAACGCCCGACGCGGTCCTGCCAGGCGGGCGGCTGCTCAGTAGCGTCTCTTCTTTGGAGACGGTCACCAGCGTCTTCGGGCCCGCCCGCGCTCCATAGAAAAAGGACGAGGAGGGCGAGAGGTAGGCGGAGGGGGAGAAGAAAGCAGACGGCGAGGAGGAGGAGGAGGGAATTGCATTGCATTGGGAACCAGCATCACTGGTATGGGGGGAATTATCCTTCCGGCGTGTGGTACAGGCACCGTGCTCGCATGCGTCAGCAATCACGGTTGACGGTAAATTGAGTAATGGCTGGCGTTGCTTCGTTCAAAGCCTTCCTGAGGTGATGCGGATTCATCTCGCTCTCAGCCCTTCGTTCCGGGAGTGTGGACAGGCAGAGACGGGGAGGCGGGAAGAGGAGGCCTAGAAGGAAGGAGGAAGGAGAGGCCTCACCTACAGCCTCAACCAACTGCACTGGCCATCACACCTGCACGATGTAAGTATGTCCTGCACGATGCACGTATGTCCATGTAATTTAGGCACCCTCGGGCCCTCCAAACCTCCGGAGATCCCCGCGGACCTCCGGGCTCTCTTGACCCCCCCCCCAAAAAAGCAGGCCCCAACAAGGCCCTAAGAGGGGCCAGTGGGGGCCCAAAAAGGTTCCGAGAGGATCCCAAGAAGGCCCCAAGAGGACCCCAAGAGATCTCCGAGAAAGCGTCTGACGGTGCGCAATTGCACACCATATTTGAGGCCCTCTTCGAACGCTCTTGGGGCCCCTTTAAGCCCCCTTGAGGCACCAAGAGGCTCCCAGGAGGCTCCGAGCGGGAGGGCACCAAGACGGCTCCAAGACGACCCCTGGAGATGTGCGACGGCCATTGCACATCTCCAGGGCCGACGCACGTCGACGCACGTCGACTGGGAGCACGATGCTCGGATATATTTTTCCGGAGGTTAACGTCACAGGGACGTGGGCAGACAAGGCGCAACCCGGAGGCTTCCACTTCAACTTTCGCGGCGCGCGCGACAACAGTCGAAGTGGGTGAACTTCGGGCCTGTGGAGCTTAAAATCGTCCACTGTCACACTTGCGAGGGGCAGCAGTATTTGAACGTCAACCTTAAGAACCTTCGGCGTGCTGGGTTTCATGTCGGAGGGCTGCTGGGTGAGGATGATTACACGGAGGCTGCGACGCTCGAGGCAGGGTGCCAGAAGATGATATCCCTATCGGCGGGTCCGGATGGTCAAGCTCCGCATCGACAGGGCTCCTCCGCAATCGGCTATTGAGCCCTCTGCCCTGCCGTGGTGCAGGATTATACATATAACGGGGGACTGGGTCCGAGGGCCGGGGGCCGGCGCCTCGACCGCAAATGTGGGGCCCGGGCGTCATTTTCTTTGTTCACACACACACACACCCAAACACCCAAACACACACACACACACACACCAAGATAACACCAACACGGCAATGAATGCCCCCAGAGCCCCCACAATTCTTCAATTCTTTCTTTTTTTTAGTGGCATTGCGCCTCCGCTGCCTTCTCATCATCGCCATTTGGTGTAATGAGTTAGCGCGTAACTTTGCTGCGCGAGTTGTGAGGGCAGAGCGGCATGCACCCGCAAATAGCAGGGGGCATGATTCCCGCTCGCACTGCAGACACTGTGCCGTGACGGCGGTCCGTGGCAGCCGACCCAGGGAGTGTAGGCTTGCAGAAGTGTGAGGCGACAGTGGGATACACCCGCATACAGCAGGGGGGCCCGTTGCCGTTCGCACCGCAGACATTGTTTGCTGCGTGTTGCTCCAACTCCAACCGAAATAATAGCACCTAAGACGTATATATCCATACATCCCATCTTCTGGAGTGAGCAAGTACCTTCATCAACATCCACAACTCCGCGTTTGAATCCTCAACGCGCGTTTGGCGCAGCTCGCGGTTGGCGCACATTTCGCGCGTCGACTGCTTCGCCGTCTGGTAACTGATTTGCTCCCTGGTTGCCAGACAGTGCGGCAAAAAAACAAAAGACAAAACAAGACAACAACAAGTGAAATGCTTGTTTTCACGTGCCCAGGTCTTGAGGATGTCTCGGGCGAGACGCTTGGTTTTCACGCCTCCAGGTTGCCCAGTTAGATGTCTAGCATGAGGATTTGTTGAGGATGTCTCGAACCAGAGGCTAGTTCTCACGTGTCCAGGTCGCCCAGGCGGATGTCTAGCATGAGGATGTGTCGAGGAAGTCTCGATCGAGACGCTTGTTTGCACGTATCCAGGTTGCCCAGGCGGATGTCTAGCATGAGGATGTGCTGAGAACGTCTTGAGCGAAACGCGTGTTTTCACGTGTCCAGGTCGCCCAGGCACAGCACAGCCCTCGGCACGGTACATCAATATCGATACCCTTAGCATTGCAGCCTGGCATGTTGCCTGGCACGTTCCGCGGAGCGTCCCGTGGCGAGTCCCCCTGGCACATCGCGCGGTGCACATCCATTGGCACGTTCCGTAGCGCGTCCCCTTGGCACGTCCCGCGGTGCGTGCCCATGGCACGTCCCCTGGCACGTCGCCTGGCGCGTCCCTTGGGACGTTCCGCGGCGCGTCCTCCTGGCATGTCCCCCTGTCGATTAGTTCTGGAACAGCTACCATCTGCTCAGGCAGCTCGAGCTTAAGATCCAGATCAGTTCGGTCAGGACTCGGATGCAAAGAGGACTCGATTCACAACGCTATGTAGAGCACGATCGCGGCATGGCACATCGCAGTTCAGCACGGCCTAGCACAGCACAGCCGTCGGCCATTGCACATCTCTGGGGGCCTCTTGGGACCCTCTCGGGGCCCTCTTGGGGCCTTCTTGGGCCCCTCCCAGACGGCCCACGAAGCCCGCGGGGGGCTCAAGAGGGTTCCAAGATGGCCTCAAAAGGGCCTCGAACGGGCCCCAAGATGGCCCCAAGACAACCCTTGAGATGTGCAACGGCCGTTGCACATCTCTGGGGGCCTCTTTGAACCCTCTCGCGGCCCTCTTGGGGCCTACTTGGGCCCCTCCCAGACGGCTCAGGAAGCCCGCAGGGGGCTCAAGAGAGCTCCAAGATGGCCCCAAGAGCGCCCCGAACGGGCCCCGCAACGACCCCTGAGATGTGCAACGGCCGTTGCACATCTCTGGGGGCCTCCTGGGACCCTCTCGGGGCCCTCTGGAGGCCTTCTTGGGCCCCTTCCAGACGGCGCAGGGGGCTCATCAGGGCCCAAGACGGCCCCAAGAGGGCCCCGAGCG